AGACATGTGGGCTAATGTTGGACTTGTGGGCTTGGGCACCACTGGGTTGGGATGTTTTCTTGATGTGCACTTACCCTTTATGTAAAATTCTCCCTTACACATGTGAGTTTCTGTGGATTTCTCTTATGTACCCAGACTCACACAAATACGTATAGCACCACCAGGGCTCCTTTGACAGAGGGTCTGTGAAAAAGAGGAAAACCCTCAAGGAGATGGGTTGACCTCGTTGCTGCAACAATGGGCCCAAATCTAAGAAAATTTGTGCAGATGGCACAGGGTGGGTGAGTGTTTAGTTCTCTTGGAGTAACTCAAAGGTACCTGACAACAACAATGGAAATTAGCTTTCATCAAAGCTCAATTGAATATTAAGACCTTAACCCTAAGTGGGGCTTATCCAACATGACAGGCACCCTCCATAGGCTGCTGCTTTCCCAGAACTTATGTAGACATTATGAATAATATGTATGTGTGCTTTCCTAATTTGTACCTAGTAAAAGAGTAACAGTGTGTGCTAACAGGAGCAAAATCCGAGCACATTCATCTCTCAGTGTGCCATCCATCCTATTTCCGTCCTCTGCTTCCTGCTTCTCTTCCTCCTTCATTCCGAATCCTCTGACCTTTGTCCTTGGGTCCATGCTGCCCTTTTGAGCTTCCACGGTTGATTATTCTAATATGACTAGCAGGGGAAGGGGAGAGAGATCAGTTCCAGACCTGAAGGGTGACCAAGAGGCAGTTTTGGGGCCTCTACCAGTCTCTATCCAACCAGTAGGCCTATCTCTTTTATACTTTTCAATTCTGTATCCAGGACCTTCTCATTTAATCCTTTCCAGAGCAGTTGGTAGTGGCAGCCAGGCACCATGTAGCTCTTCTGATCGCAGAGGGGTGGTTGTGTCCATGGCTTTGACTTTCCTCACTCTCCTTTCCTGTGGATAGGGTGAGCCCGGTAGTTGAACCTTGGAGAGGTGCTCACTAGCTTTCTAGACCCCAGTTGCTGAGAGTAATAACCTTTCTTTTCCTCCTCATCTCTGTCTTGAGGTTGGTCCGTTCAAGTCGTGGGGTGGGGTGCGGGCGGGGCTCCTAGAGGGGTAACATCAACAAGGGCCTCAGCGGTGAACAAGAAGTCTCAAGTGGTGTTAGGTCTTCTGCTGTAAACCACAGCCTTCAACAAGCCAAGCGCGTGTTAGCATTTCAGCTCTGCCGCAAGGCTCAAGCTTCCTGAGGACAGGGGCCTGGTCTATGTTTCACTTGTTTACCCAGTACTGGAACTTCGTGGACAGCCAATAAACATTCTTAAATAAACCAATGAAAGACGAGGTTGCCCAGCCGATGGAGAGAAGCCCCTGTCTAAAAGGCCCAAGCATGATGGTTGATAATGAGGTTTACATCCCACTCCCCAGGCTCCCCACCCCCTCTCTCCACATCGCTCGCCCCAGGAGAGCGTGGAGGTCCAGGGTGTGCGGATCCTCCGGGTCCAGCCTTCGCTCACTCATTTGTAGCAGGGTGGTTGACTTCTCGTGCAGGGGTGGCTGCAGCCCAGGCAGATGCGTCACCCAGCCTGGCACGGAGACTGGCCCGCGACCATAGAGAGGGAGCCGGCGGGGCGGGAGGCCGGAAGTGGTTGCTAGAGGGGCCGGGACCGAGCTGGGCGGAAGAGGAAGGAGCGGGCGGAGAGCCGTGAGGTGGCAGCGGCTGCGCCGGCGGAGCCTGCGCCTCAGTGGACACGGGGGTCTGTCTCCCCTTTCCGGGCCTGACTCCTCGCAGGGACGTCAAGGACTGCTGTCGAGAGCAGGAGATCGCCCCGCCTGTCTGTCTCCCACGTCCGCACCCCCAGCCGGGCTTGCGGAGCCGGCTACCCCGGGCTGGAGCCTGGCGCTCCCTGGTCCTTCCTCAGTCAGCACCGACCCTGGCTGCAAGGGCCTCCCTTTGCTGCTTGGCGACCCACCTTTACTCCTTGCCCGCCGACTCCGGCCGCCGCCTGGTTCCGCCGGGGCTTTCGTGCCAGCTGCCGGCTCTGGGAACTGGCCTCTCCCCTCCTCTCTCTGCTGCCCTCGGCGACGCGCCATCCGAACACCTCTTCCGCCCACCGCCCCCTAACGCTTGCTTTTCAGGCTCAACTCACAATCCTCCCGCTTTTCTGGACAGCGCCTTGACTTTGTAGATGCATTTTTGTTTTGAGACGAATAGCGAAAACTAGGCTTTTGACTTTCCAGTACTAGAATTCCTCTTTCTTTCACTGCTGGGAGATGTAGCAGGGGCTCTGAGCCACTGGCTGGCTGTCTAGGCAGTCAGCTGCACTTCCGTTTGCTTTATGTGGAATTCCGGCCCTGACCTCATTAACTTTAGCTTCGTGTGTGTGTGTGTGTGTGTGTGTGTGTGTGTGTACCTGGTAGACTCAGATCCTGAATAGCTCCCACACAGCAAGCATTACAATTAATTTGCTTCCTCTTTTCTCAAGAGGAAGGCAAGGCAAGACCAACTAACTACCCAGCAGCTGGGGTCCTGGGGGTGCCATGCAAAATGGCTCCGCTAGCCTTTGTGCTCATCTGAGAAGATCTCAGAGCTGAGTCATCCTAACTGTCTACCTCGTCTGACTGGGCCAAGCTCCTGTGCCCATTGCTCTTTGATCTTTCCAAACTTGGAGGTAAGGGTTGCTGGAGCCCTGATCCCTCATGTGCCCACCTTCAGCCGTCAGGTGAAGCACCTAAGGTAAAGGAGTGAGAAATGACCCTGAGCCAGACGTTCTTTTGAAAAGGCTAAAAGAGGCAGGTTCTTGTTCGGTGGCTGTTGCTTGCATGGATCATGTGTTGTTCTCTAAATCTTTGATCACCGGTTGCTGCCATGTCTAGACTTATGCCGAGTCTGCCGATGTGTGTAGTTCATTTGGGGTTAGATTTGGTAGGATTCAATGTTCTTTCTTTCCACTGGAAGACAGAACATCATCTCAGTTGTGAGTGACATGTGGTACTCATTGGGCCGAGGGTACACAGCAGCACCACAGTTGGAAGACCAGGCAGAGCAGTGAAAAGAAGACGGTCAAGTTTTCTGCTGGGCCTGGAAACGTCCATGCTTGACTCTGTTGCTGACCTCATTGACCCCAACTTCCCCAATCAAAACTCAAGGCCTACTGCTGGTCTGGCACTTTCAAGCCCTTTGTTCCTTGAGTACCGATACCCACATGGCAGGAATGACCACCATGCGCTTGAACTCCCTGCTGGCTCTCCTGCGACCAGCACTACCCCTCATCCTAGGGCTGTCCCTGGGATGCAGCCTGAGTCTTTTGCGGGTCTCCTGGGTCCAGGGTGAAGGGGAAGATCCCTGTGTAGAGATTTTAGAAGACCTGGGAAGGTCTCAGAACCTGGACTCAAGGATTCGACAGGACCACAGTGATGACTTCAAACCTCGAGTTGTCCCCTACTACAGGGATCCCAACAAGCCCTACAAGAAGGTGCTCAGGTGAGAGCTCTGTGTGTGCAGTTTTCAGACACCAGACCTCAGTTTGTCCTGCTTACTTGCCTCTGTGTATCCAATGGCAATCAGACTCTAACGTTCCTTGGCATAGTCCCTTGTCTTATTCTCCATGATGGTTTGTTCTCGTTCGCCGCTGCTCTTTCTTAGCTCTAAGAAAGTCTTAGCTATTGTTGTTAAATCCATGTTCATTGTGCTTGAACAAGGCACGAATTGCATCTGAGCCAGCTAACTTATCCTTAGACCCTCGAAGTATAGGCACAGAGTCCAGCTAGTCAGTAGATGCTAATTCCAGAAACTAACACTGACAAGGAGATTTTACCCTTCTCTTTTCTCAGGACAAGCTGGTTCCTAAAAATTAGGAAGTTGACCCCTGACATGCTGGTCTCTCCACAGGACCCGGTATATCCAGACCGAGCTGGGCTCTCGTGAGCGGTTGCTTGTGGCTGTCCTGACTTCCCGAGCCACGCTGTCCACTCTGGCTGTGGCTGTGAACCGCACAGTGGCCCACCACTTCCCTCGGTTACTCTACTTCACTGGGCAGCGAGGGGCCCGGGCTCCGGCAGGGATGCAGGTGGTATCTCATGGGGATGAGCGGCCAGCCTGGCTCATGTCGGAGACTCTGCGCCATCTGAACACATACTTTGGGGCCGACTATGACTGGTTCTTCATAATGCAGGATGACACGTATGTGCAGGCCCCCCGCCTGGCAGCCCTTGTCGGCCACCTTAGCATCAACCAGGACCTGTACCTGGGCCGTGCTGAGGAGTTCATTGGTGCTGGGGAGCAGGCCCAATACTGTCACGGTGGCTTTGGCTACCTGCTCTCACGGAGTCTGTTGCTCCGGTTGCGGCCACACCTTGATGGCTGTCGAGGAGACATTCTCAGTGCCCGCCCTGATGAGTGGCTCGGCCGCTGCCTCATTGACTCTCTGGGGATTGGCTGTGTCTCCCAGCACCAGGTAACAGCTCATTTAGATTCCCAACAAGTTAGTAGTGATGTAGTGACCCCTCTCCAGGAGGTTCAGCTGACTCCTTCCCACCAGTACCTTGGAAATCATTGCACCCTTCCCAACCACAGATCTGCTCATTGGAAGGCCCTTGTCACCTTTGGCAACCTTAGAACCAGGGACTACCAAAGGTAGCATCGTGTCCTTTGACTAAGAAAGAAATGTGCTTCTAATCACCTGCCCTCACCATCTGCCACCCCCAGCCCCAATCCACTCAAGAGCAGCTATGAAATATCTGGGCATTTCCTAGAAATGGCCACTCCCCTTGAGGAGTAAAGTCTTCATTTGTTTGCTAGCTCAGAAGCTGCCGTGCTTCTTGTACGAGAGAAGAGGGGATTAACCCAGATGGGGTCCACCCTCCTAAACCCAGACTCTTCAAAGTCTTTGCAGACGTGGGCCTTTCATTTTCTTGAGAAACAGTGGGGTTCTTTGGGGTAGAATGCCCTTACTTGCCTACTTGTTTTATCCTGTCTAAAATCCAAGTTGTGACAGGAGACACTGGGAGTCGGAGTGACTCCCCTACTCCACCATAGAGTAACGTCAACAGCAATGAGTGGCTAACTGGCCATGGGTGGTTAAGGGTGATTTGGGACAGGCCACCCTTGGCATGTAACACTGATGGGTGTCTGGTCCCTCCAGGGGCAGCAGTACCGCTCATTCGAACTGGCCAAAAACAGGGACCCTGAGAAGGAGGACAGCTTGGCTTTCCTGAGGGCTTTCGCAGTACACCCTGTCCCTGAGGGAGCTCTGATGTACCGGCTGCACCAGCGCTTCAGTGCTCTGGAGTTGGAGCAGGCTTACAATGAAATAGAACAGCTACAGGTGAGCTCAAGACCAGGTGGGCCAGAGGAATGACTTGGGAAGGTTGGGCTAGCCTCTATGGTGGATGGGTAGAAAGATGCTGATCGTACCCAGACTTCAAACGACAAGGAGAGTTGGGGTCAACTCCTAGAATGATGTGAACGCGGTTAAAGGTGAACTGTGTCAGGAGGCGCAGCACAATGTCGAGACAGTCATTTTAGCTCTTTTCCACCAGCAAGCAAAAGCCTAAAAGTCCCTGAACTTCCAGAATTTTCTTGAAAAAGCCAGAAGGTGAAAGTCTCGTTGAGTCTGAGGGTTGTCAGTCTACATGGAAGCAGGGTCTAACTATGAAGGGATAGAAAGTCTTAGGGCCTGGGAGAGAGACTGTGAGCTTTATTTCGGGGTACTCTTACGTTTGCAAAAGTGCAATTTTCATCTCTTACCTTCTCATAGTGATCATCTGAGGTGGATATGATTCATATTCCTTTCACACATTACAGATGAAGACTGTAACATGGAAAATCAGATGATGAGCCAAGGGGCACTTCTTTAAATGTTGCCAGGACAAAGCTTAGCCTTTTGGGTATCAAGTATAGTAGCATCCTGCATATGTCCAAGGAGTGAAAGCTGGATAGGGTCCTAAATCTGGTACCAACTGTCCATTCTCTTCCCAACTAGGCTCAGATCCGGAACCTGACAATGCTGACCCCTGAGGGGGAGGCGGGTCTAAGCTGGCCCGTTGGGCTCCCTGCCCCTTTTACACCACACTCTCGTTTTGAGGTGCTGGGCTGGGACTACTTCACCGAGCAGCACACCTTTTCCTGTGCAGATGGGGCTCCCAAGTGCCCACTGCAGGGGGCAAGCAGGGCGGACGTGGGTGATGCTGTGGAGACTGCCTTGGAGCAGCTGAACCGGCGCTATCAGCCCCGCCTCCGCTTCCAGAAACAGCGGCTCCTCAACGGCTACCGGCGCTTTGACCCAGCCCGGGGCATGGAGTACACCCTGGACCTGCTGCTGGAAGCAGTGACTCAGCGTGGGCACCGGCGGACTCTGGCCCGCAGGGTCAGCCTGCTGCGGCCACTGAGCCGTGTGGAGATCCTGCCCATGCCCTATGTCACTGAGGCCACCCGTGTGCAGCTAGTGCTGCCTCTCCTGGTGGCTGAAGCTGCTGCAGCCCCTGCTTTCCTGGAGGCCTTCGAAGCCAGTGTTTTGGAACCACGAGAACATGCTCTGCTCACCCTGTTGCTGGTCTATGGGCCCCGGGAAGGTGGCCGAGGGGCCCCTGACCCGTTTCTTGGGGTCAAGGCTGCAGTCACTGAGTTAGAGCGGCAGTACCCCGGGACAAGGCTGGCCTGGCTTGCTGTGCGAGCTGAGGTCCCGTCCCAGGTTCGGCTCATGGACGTGGTCTCTAAGAAGCACCCAGTGGACACCCTCTTCTTCCTCACCACTGTGTGGACCAGGCCTGTGCCTGAAGTCCTCAACCGCTGCCGCATGAATGCCATCTCAGGCTGGCAGGCTTTCTTTCCAGTGCATTTTCAGGAGTTCAACCCCACCCTGTCACCACCAAGGTCACCCTCGGGGCCCCTGGGCGCTGGCCCTGACCCTCAGTCCCCTCTTGGTGCTGACCCTTCCCGGGGAGCTCCTGTTGGGGGCAGATTTGATCGGCACGCTTCTGCTGAGGGCTGCTTCTACAACGCAGACTACCTGGCGGCCCGAGCACGGCTGGCTGGGGAACTGGCAGGCCAGGAAGAGGAGGAAGCCCTGGAGGGGCTGGAGGTGATGGATGTTTTCCTCCGGTTCTCAGGGCTCCACCTCTTTCGGGCCGTAGAGCCAGGGCTGGTGCAGAAATTTTCTGTGCGGGACTGTAGCCCCCGGCTCAGTGAGGAACTCTACCACCGCTGCCGCCTCAGCAACCTGGAGGGGCTGGCGGGGCGTGCCCAGCTCGCCATGGCTCTGTTTGAGCAGGAGCAGGCCAATAGCACTTAGCACACTGGACACGTCCTGTCCCTCCTTGGACTTCCTTGCCTTTTCTGCCTTTGGCCCCGGGTAGAGACAAAGACAGATGGACGATGGGGAGCTGGTTGCTGTATTTTTCTAATAAGAATATACTATTAAAGGTGTCTTCTGACAAACTCTTGTTAGGCCTATGGAAAATGGAGTAAGGGAAGGTTATGAGAAGTTTTCCAGAGGAACTGATAACTCACTTTCCCCCCCACCCCCAGTTTCCAATAATCACACAGCTATTATTAGACGAACAACCTTTAATCCAGTGCCCCAGCCTCACACAGGCGTCCGTGGAGTTGGGAACAGGCTCCAGCCCAGAAGGTCCGTAGTGGTGCTCGCTCCAAAGGGGCTCCTCCTAGGTGTTACGCACAACGAGTGACTGCTCCAGTTCCTGCCTGCGCTGCTGGATCTTTAGAGAAAGAGTAGGAGCAGCTTAAATGATCCCTGATGAATGAGCAAGACAACTCCAACTGCCCTTTGCCTGGGGACAGCTTCTGGGAGCAGGGAAGATCCTCACAGAGGAGGGAGGAAAAGCCACCATGGAGAGTGGCCAAGGATAAATGGCAACTCAGAGAAGGATGGTTTCTCCTGGAGCGGAGAAGAGGATCATCTGGAGCCTAAGGCACCCGCCCTACCTTGCAGTAGAAGTAGCGGCTGACTGCTTCTTGAGACCAGGGCTGATGGTAGAACTCAGCCCGGCGTTCCTCTTCAGGGTTGCCTGTTACATCTGTCATCACCTGGGAGGGAGCAGTGGGTATCAGCCCTAAAACAGAGTCACCCCCCTTTTCACCTGTATACAGCATTTACTGCCTTTCCAAATGTGCTTGTCTTCCACTCCAGTAATTCCCGGGTCTCTCTCTTCACCTTGAGGTCCCGGCTCTGGGAGCGGAGCAAGTCTTGGACATAGCCTTTGGGGTCCCTGGAGAAGCTTAGCATGAAGTCTCTCTGGATCTTGAGCTGGTTTATGGACTCGATCGTCTCATGGATCTACAGGTAGAAAGGTAGATACTATCAAGTTGCCCTTGGCCATGTGGGAGAAGCGGGTACAAGGACGAGGATGAGAAGTGGAGGGGACAGGGGATTTACCCCTGTTCATTTGAAGGGCAATCCCTCAGAGCTCCTGATTCTGCTAAAGTTGCAAGGAAGTGGGGTGGCGGTGGGCCGAAATCTACCTCAAATGAGATTAAACTCCAAGTAGCAATGGAAGGACCATTTGTCTCCTTCCTTACCCCACAGGCTCATGCCCAGTCTATGTTTATTAAAAAAAAAATTGTGTGTGTGTGTTTTAGGTGGAAGTTTACATAGCAAATCAGGTTCCTGTTGAACAATTTCTATGGTATTGTTCAGCCACATTGGTTCCATTTTTTAAAAAATCATTTTATTAGGGGCTCACACAACTCTTATCACAATCCATACATACATCAATTGTGTAAAGCGCATTTTTACATTTATTGCCCTCGTCATTCTCAAAACATTTCCTCTCCACTTAAGCCCCTGGCATTAGGTCCTCATTTTTCCCCTCCCTCCCGGCTCCCCCCTCCCTCATGAGCCCTTGATAGTTTATAAATTATTATTGGTTGCATTTTTGACGATGTGTCAGTATTCTCTTTCCCATTCTGATTTCATTTCCGTTACTATAGCTTTCCGGTTCTGCTTACTTTCTGATCTTTGTTTTAGGGTCTCATATCGTGTTTTTTCCCCCCAATTGTGAAAGTATTCTTTAAAAAAATTCTTTATTTTAGTTTGAAGGGCACAGTATTCATGAATGATATTTATTTTATGAGCTAACCTGTACTTAGTCTGTTCTGAGTCTGTACTTGGTCATTTGGGGGCCAATGCCTATGCCAGCCCTGGACTCTGGCCGCACCTTACTGTCTAGAGCACTGATCTCCTGCTGATTGGCCGTGGACAAGAGAAAGCTGCTCATCTGCCCCTTCAGCGGCTCCTCCACCTCCACATCGATGTCATAGCATGCCGTCTTCTTCTGGTCTGATGGGTCCACACTGCCAAGAAAGCACAGCCTTTGGTGTCCAGGATGCCCCACGTGGGTCCAAGACACAGGGCTGGGCCCATCCAGTGGGGAGGGATGGTCGGAGGGGCAGGATAAAGCAAGGATCATTCCCTTGTCTGAGGAGCAAGTTGGTGCCATCTCACCTGATGACATGGTTGATGACAATTGGGTCCGGGGGCAACAGCAGAGCTGTGAGGCGCTGGGGAATCTCAGAAAACTTGAGTCGAGGACAATCAAAAATCTGAAGCAGGAAAAGAAATCACTATTGTGCTCAAAGAAAGCCAGCCTCCAGTTCTAGATCCGTCCATTCAGGAAAGGTGCAAGCAGCTAGGATTACGTCTAATTCCTTGTTTTCTGTGGATGGGATGGGTGGGTGAGTGGGTGTGGTGAACAAGGAGGAGGGGCCATGTGTTGTGGTGGTTGGGAGCCTGGGCCATGGTCTGTGTGCCTCAGTACGTACGCTGCTCCCACCACTTCCTGTGTAACCTTGAGTAAGTTCCTGCTCTCTGGCCTGGGGCCACAGGTCTAACCTCACAACACTGTGGTGTGGATTGCCTGACACAGTACTTGGTTTACGGGGGACCACTCAGTAAACATCAGCTAGGTTCACGCCTTGGGCTTATCGGCTGCTGTGTTTACTTAGAAAAGCATAAAGAATGAGCGTCTCAACTTTGGTCGGATTTTTTGAAACTGCTTTCATGGTCATTTGGTCTTCTCAACTGCTCCTGGGTTAGATGAGAGCTCCTGGTCTCTTAGTCTCAAGACCATGAGCGTGTCCTCTTTCTAGAACTCAGGAGTCTGGCTGGGTAGAGGGGTGGTGTTACCTTATGAGAAGTCCTTCCCTGCTGGTAACTGCCTGCTCCCTGGGTTCGAGCTCAGGTTACCTGCTGGAAATACTTGTCCCCATTGATGTACTCCTTGTCATGGGAGTCCTGCAGCCTGTTGGTCTTCACATACTGCCAGAGGGCCTGGACGATGGCCGAGCGGCTCTGCGTGTGCAGTCCCAGCAGCCGGGCCAGGCGGGGGTCCAGCTTGAACTGGGGAGGCTGGGGAAGGGTGGCCATGAAAATGAGATAAAGGGGGCTGGGGAGAACTCGGGGCCAGGCAGCTTGGGGCTGAGAGATGTGTTGATGGGCTCCTTGGAAGCATGCTTCTGGAGGAGGATGATGTAGGAAGGAGAGTGGGGTCTCAGGATGCACGGCTCTGAGGCCTAGGCCCACCCTGTCTAAGAAGAAAGGGGGAGGATGGTGCTGGCTGTGCCCGGCACGAGTGGCTTCGTGGGTGGGCGGCGGCGGCAGCGGGCACAGACCTGGTAGTCCAGCATGAGGAGCAGGGTGCAGCGCACACTCAAGTCCCCCGGCCGCTTCACCTGGAAGCCGTCTGTCTCCTGGGTGGTGGGCGTCCGATGCCACTGTCCAGAAGATAAGAGTTGGGTCACAATGCAGGTCCATGTGAATTGGTGGCACCTGGGGCTCCAGAGTAGTACCTGATCCAAATCTGAGAGCCCCTCCGAGGAGGTGGGAATTGTGGCCTAGGTGTGTCTAGGTGTTGAGGCTGTGGGTGGGAGAGGGTGCTAGTCAAGGGCAGACGGGGGTCTTGGTCTTACCTCAACTAGGTGGTTGTCAGGGCCATAAAGGTCTTTGTCCAGCTCAATGACCAAACTCTTGAAGAAAGAAGAGAACTTCCGCTTCTGCTTGCTGGGCTGTGGGGCAGAACAAGGACCCCGGGGGCAGAAGGAGGTCACGTTGAGAGGGGAGAGCTGGTAAGGCAGGTAGCAGGATAGATGCACTCCTCTTTATTCACCCTGTGCCTAGGTCCCTCCCCCACTCAGACCCTAGCACAGACTTGGATTCTGTCTCTCAGCTCAGGCCCATACCCACCCCAGGACACCTGGAGAGACCTGGGCCAGGACGTACGTCATCCAGGAGTTTCCCCTCCACCCGAAGCTCCCAGGAAGCAATGCTGCCATCAGAATCCTCAGCATCGGGCTTCGCAGGGTTAAAAGTATTGGAGATATAAAGACGCAGCTTCCGCTTTTGCTGTGGAAATAGTGACAATTGTGTGATCCCACCCTAGGGCACCCTCCTCACCCACTGCTCAATTTGGGGAGCAGCATGTAAAGCCCTCTGCGTCCCCCCAGTAAAGCACCTTCATTGGCCTCTTCAGAGCTTCCTGGATGTCCACCCGCTTTCGCATGATGGTTTGATCCAGTTTCCTCTCAAATGCCAAGAGGTCCATGTATGCTTGGGACTCTGGGACCAACTCACGGATCTGGAGGATGAGGAGCCAGGCAGGGTGTCAGGGCTCTGCAAATGTCTCTAAGTGGCATGTGGGTGTGTCAGCCATGCCATTCAAGGACACCAAGGGAGGACAGTTGTCCAGTCCTGGGACATGCAACTATGGGTGTGAATAAGACCTCTCCCCAGGAGTCCATCTCCTCAGTGAGGCCCTCAACTTGTAAGAGAGAAAAATGGCTTCTCCCTCTAGGGAATCCGTGTGTTTTTATCACTAGGGGAGGAGACCACAACTGTGGGGCTCACCAAGAGGGAGGGTGAGGGCTGCCTCATCTCGCTATTGCCCTTGTGGAATACAGTGGCTTGGCTTGCCTTAGGTCCCCACAAAGTGGCTTCAGGCTCTGCAGTTCCTGAGACTGTTGTGGGTAACGGTGCTAGTGTCTACCCTGGTGTTTCCCCAGGCCCTATGCTGAGGTTGAGCCCTGCTAGCACTCTGGGCCTGGTGCCCCTGGGCAGCATGTGTTCCTGCTGCCAGCATCTGACCCCACCTCTTCTCCCCTCTTTGTTCCAGCTTTCAAGTCGCCCACTGAACTCTCACAGCTCCTCCGTTATTTCCCTCTGCCCCACCCCCTCCCTGAGGCTGAGGGAGTCTCATTTTTTAATTAGCTTTATACAAACAAAAAGTGCAAGTGACTGTGACCACTAAGCTTTGCTGCTTCTGACCAGAGGGGAAGGGAGGGCCGAACAGCAAAGGGTGGGGGGCGGGCTGGGGCTGTTAGGAAAGGCACTCACCCTTTGAGGGAGGATTTTGTCAGCCATCTTCCTCCTCTTGGCACTGTACATTTTTTAAAGAAAAAAACAGGTTACCATGGCGACAGATCTG